GGGACAAGGCTTTAATCATCCGATTATGTGCCACTATGCCAAAATGAATGGAAAATGAAACCAGAAAAGTCATGGCACACCTCATCTATGGCCTAATTTGTTGTAGTGTCAAACTCAATCATTTATAGCCTCGTACATCTCATTTTTTCGGAAAAAGAAATCACAGATATCACTAGCCAAGGTCTTCTATGTCTATAATGCAATTATGTGTCTTAATCACTTACATTAAGGCCAACTATTTTCTTCATAGAAATTTCATTCATCAGTCTTTAACGTATAACAGGGGACTAGAAAAGTTGTCTTAAATGTAATAACCGAATTATTTTACATAGATAATATCATGATATTAGCTCCATCAAGCCCTGAAACATCAGTGCGCATGAAGCATTTTTTTTTCTAATTTTTTTTTCTTTTTTGGATAGGTAAATAATACACACCCACAAATTATTGTTTCATTAGTGACTCAAACGTACCCTCAACCTTCCATGTGAAGAAAGAGGGGCTACCACTTGGGCTAGGCAATGTTGATATCATAATTTTTTAATGTGTGTATATCCCTCCCCTACATTGTCAATATTTGATACTCTATATGTTGCCTTGCATAATCTACAAGAACACATAGATGAGAAGACACTACAAGAACTACTCATCTTGCTCAAATTTCTACTATATCAAATTTAATATCGATAAAGGATTGTATGTGTGCAATGGTGGCTCAAATTTTGTGGTCTGAATTTTGTGTGGGTGAGGGTGATGTAAGCGGAAACGATAGATTGTTCACAAAGGATATACACCCGATAAAAACTGTGCTTTTTCCGGGTCAAAAACGGATTCGTCAAAATTACCCGATCAGTCCGCCGATTGACCTTTTGACGGTCCAAACAAGTTCCAAAATTGTCAGCTAAATGTTCTGCATCAATGGGTTCGACGATCAGTTTGAATCCAAAAAATAGGATTTGTGTGGGACCCAAAAAACTAGCTTCAAAGCCTCCTCATCTGGCGATGCATGCTGTTATTGTTGGGAGAATTTTGGACATGGCTGGGACGGCATGAACACGGCAAAGACATGTTTTGAACACTTTCAGAATATGACGGGGTGATTTTGTAATTTTTTTTTTTAGAAGAATGAAATTAAATGTAATTTAAAATATATTATGCACTAATACAAAAAATAATATAATTATTTAAAATAACATACATTTAATTTTAAACTCCAAATTAGTGCTTTTATTCATGATTATGTAGATAAAATGTATAAAAAGTATTGTTTTCCTATATATAATAAAATATTATATTATTATTTTTTGAAGTATTTATGTCGTATTGGTGTCTTATTTTTTTGAAATTTATGGTATTGACGTGTTCGTATTGTGTCGTACTCGTGTCCGTATCCATCTTCCTAGTTTACTAGAGTTGCACTACATATTTTTCTTTTTCCTTGTTTTTGCATTACAGATTCCAATTGCTCATCCAAAAGGGGAGAAAAATATGAGGTTTTAATTGCAAGAGCACGATATGGTCAAAGATGTTGGTGCGTGACTGTTGCTATCTTACATTCATGATGCTGGCCAACCGAAGCACCCATTGACACCCACTGCTGGAATGTTTAATACTTAATTTTTGAGTAATTGGGTAGTAGAAACCAAAAATTATAGTCCAATTACATGTGAGTAATTATAACAAATTTAACTAATTAAGCCAACAATATAAACCAATCACAATATGATTTCTGGTAAAGTTAATATTTAATTATACTGACAAGGAGGAATGTATTATGTAGACCATGTGATCATGTGCAATTAGATCTTTTGAAGCCCTCAATCATCTGATCTATGGCCTCATTTTACTCAATCTTTTCCCAAAAAGAAAGGACAAAGAAATCACTAGTCAATGTCCACGTCAAAGACCTCTATGGCTATAATGCAACTCTGTTTCTTCATCAATTACTTTCTTCATGGAAATTTCATCAAAGTATCATTTAAATGGAAGAAAAGTCTTGGATTTGGAGGATATTATATTTTGTGCCTTAGATGTCACAATGGACCATCAATTGCTTTCTTCGTGGAAATTGCATCATATCATTTAAATGGAAGAAAAGTCTTGGATTTGGAGGATATGGATTTGGAGGATATTATATTTTGTGCCTTAGATGTCACAATGGACGCTTGAATTAGAAAAAAGTTAAAAGAACACAAGTCTTTAACGTATAAGAGGGTACTAGAATTGTACTAGAATTACTTTCTTCATGGAAATTTCATCATAGTATCATTTAAATGGAAGAAAAGTCTTGGATTTGGAGGATATTATATTTTGTGCCTTAGATGTCACAATGGACTCTTGAATTAGAAAAAAGCTAAAAAGAACACAAGTCTTCAACGTATAAGAGGGTACTAGAATTATAATTGGTGTTCCACAAGGATTTTTGCTTGAGCTGTTCTTTAGTAATTTCACAATGACAAATACGCTGTGGAAAATATAATTATAGAGTTTTATATAATGCTTTTGCTCTGGTGCAAGTATCTATATTACCAGGTTGGAGCTTAATTATACAAATGGAATGAAAACTCTTCCTCATACTGCATATATTTCCATGGTAGATTGACACCCTACCTTGCACATTTGCTTGACCAGGTCAGCTTGGGTCGTTAAATGTTGGAATTTGTGTCTCAAATTCTTACTTTAATTATGTTTTTATTTTAGAGTTGTATTCTGTTTAATAATTTCTTGTTTGGTAAGTCTTGACCTCTAAGAAATTTTAATCCTTGTCCAACAAGGAATTGGATTTGAAACTCTATAAATAGATACATTAGCTTTGGATTGAGACCTGTGAGATTGGGATAGATGTAATCCCATGAGGGAGTTGATGGGTAGAGGTAGTATGCGGGTTGGTAGACTAAGAAAAACACTTGCAGCGAGGAAATAGGCTCGGGTTGGTACTCTATTGTTGTAATATCTCTATGAATTGGTACTCTATTGTTGTAGTACTCTATTATTGTAATATCTCTATGAATCATACTAAAATCTCTTCTCATCCCGGACGTAGGCCGGCTTTGGCTGAATCATGTATATTTTGTGTTTGTGTTTGTGTGTAATTGTTTTGTTGACTTTCATTTGATCTCGATGATTCGAGCGCTTCCGCTACCCCCAACATTAACGTACTGTTTGGTAAACACAAACAGTGCCTCAACGATTCTATTGTTCCAAAAAAAAAAAAAAAAAAAAAAAAATTTCACTTTTTAGCATGCTTTGCTCTTTCCCTTGGGCATAATGGATGGAGCAAAACAAGCTAAAAAGCATCAATAATGCATTGATATTCTCATCGACATATACTAGATGCAATCAAGATTTGTAATATTCACATAAAGTTATTAATCAATGTCATATCATCATTATTATTATTCAAATAAAAATCTTTCCTGTTACAAATAAGTCATGATTTATTCATTAGCGATTACCACATGACTTGATGAATAATTTTCAGTTGCTCTTGACAGAGTTCATATGAATATTCTAAAACCAACATTTATGATCTTAATTATGCATAGAACTGAATATATCATTAGAAGTATAATTTTGGATTTCGTGCTTTCCTGTAATTGCACCTGCATTTGCTGTCACTAGCAATATACTTGTTCTGAGTTGTAATGCACTGAATCTCTTGTTGGCAGATTAGGATGGCAAGTAAGCAGCATTATAGTTTTATTTGCAAAACCTAGAAGTCCAAAATTTAAGATATATCATCAAACATTAATAATACCAGAAGTGTCTTCATATCTAATAGTCCAAAATACATTAATAATACCAGAAGTGTCTTCATATCTAATTCCACAACAAATCACATACATAATATTTGCAAAATTATATTCTTCATGGAATAAAAAGGACCTAGCTTCAGTGGGTACTCTGGTAGCAACTTATCTTCAAAAGGAACATAACAGAAGCACATCACTTTGGTTAAGTAGCTTCCACTGAAATGCAAAAGGAAAGAAAAAGGAACAAAAATATTAGTAATCAGTTTAAGCAATCTGTAATTGACCAGCCAAGACTAGATATAAACCGAGAAACTAATAATTTTTTTTTTTTTTTTATGTGGCATTTTTCATGTGGGGACACTTGAAGTGTGATAAATTACTTGCAAGTATAACTTAATAATAATTTCGAAAATGATTTTTATATCAAATTATTCTGCATGAAGTGAGACTCACATGAGTCCGACTTGGTTGCATCAAATGGCTTTGACTGTATTTGAAGGCTTAGGTTAGCACAAAGTAATTAGATGTACTTGGTGAGGTACAATGGAAGAAGAATAATCAGGAGTATCAGTTGAAAGATCCAACTGGAATGTATAATTATCTTAACTCTTAAACCGTAAATCCTCTTCCAAGACAAAGAACACAATTGAAACTTACATTTTCCAAAGCCAAAACTGACAATCACAGAGACAAACATACATCAAGTTCATCAAGTCTTAAACCTCAAACTTATAGTGATTGTTTAGTCGATAAGAGAGTGTTAATACCCCCACCAGGCCATTGTCCTTGGTGATATAATGCTGCAGCTAAGACATTGTCATCAAACTGGCACCGGGATTCTATGAAATCTGCAGTAATGATGCATTTAGATGAAGAATAGAGTTTCCAACAACAAACAGGCAAGTCATTGAGACCTTTAACAGATGTATAATGTGGGCTAAGCACAAGGAAGAAATTGAAGGCATGTGTTAAACTAAGATTTCATCACAAGGTGTCACCTGTTTGCTAATGATGTGATCGAACGGACCAGTATATGAAGGCAAGAGAATGAAAAACGAAGAGGATAATATTATATTCATCTATGGTAAATATAATTTCAATTTCCATTTGAACAGAGACTTGATTGAAGTTTTCATTAGTGATATTTATGTCAAGAGCTAACACTAAATTCTAATGGAGAGAACCCATGACAATCATCATAAAAGTCTGTCCCAATCTAATAATAAACTCTTCCGAGTTACACACCCAATCAGCAGGCTGATCCTTTTTTCCTTCTATATATATATATTTTGGTTCAGGTGTTTAGGAATGCTGTAACAAACTACAGGACATGGATCTTTGTCCTCCTGTATGGCTATTCCACGGGTGTTGAATCATCCACTGATAATGTCATTGCAGAATATTTATATGATAGGTTTGTTTTCTTATTTTACATTTTGAGAAAGGTATTGTATATGGGGTATCCCACCCAATGCACAAACAGGGAAATTCTCAATTTGCAAATTGAGAATTTTTATGTCAGTATATTGAGTGAGGTACCAAGTGTAACTACTGAGATATTGTAGATTTTTTCTAGAATTTTGCTTTAAGTGATAAAACGGGTAGCACGAAGTACTATATTATCTGTACATCCGGGATACTGGACCAATAATATTTAATGTGTGACAAAGCAATTATATAGCCTGAGAATTTAATGTGTGACAGGTTTGATCTCAAGCTTCACACTGCTGGAATCATCGCGGCCACCTTCGGCATGGCTAACATTGTGGCTTGGCCATTTGGCGGATTCGCTTCCGACTTTATGGCCATAAAGTTTGGCATGAGGGGCAGGCTATGGGCCCCTTGGATCCTCCTACAAACACTCGGAGGGACTTTCTGTGTTCTCCTTGGCTACGACAACTCCCTAGCCATAGCGGTCGTCATGATGGTCCTCTTCTCCATTGGAGCTCAGGCTGCATGTGGAGCAACTTTTGGCATTATTCCATTCATTTCTCGAAGATCACTCGGTATCATATCTGGATTGACCAGTGCAGGTGGGAACTTTGGCTCTGGTCTGACCCAATTAGTGTTCTTCACAAGCTCAGGACTCTCCACTGCTAGAGGTCTCTCCTACATGGGGTACATGATCATAGGCTGCACATTGCCTGTGACGCTTGTGCACTTTCCACAGTGGGGAAGCATGTTCCTTCCTCCTTCGAAAGATGCAGTAAAAGGTACTGAAGAGCACTGCTATGTGTCTGAGACTTCCCTTAACATGCTAAGTAAACAGGATATGGCAAAATCAATACTGCTCTCGTCATTTCTTATGGGTGACTGATTGTTTTAAGTTAAAAATTAAGGATCTGGAAACCATCATGATGCAGTTCACCCTAGTATTTGTATCGCATATCACATGATTTCATGTTACAAACAATAAACAGAGCATGTACAATACTTTATTGAAGAGAGAGGGAAAAATGTGCAATCACAAGGACAAACAGGGTGCTCGCCTATACAATAACAACTAGAAATAAGCCTACGAGAAAACGACATTTATGAGATTGTGCATACCATTGAAGATAATTATTTGCTGTGAGAGGCAATATGTTTATTCTGATTACAGGAAACTACAACTACCCAACTCAAGGGAACAGCATGAATGCAAATTATGATCAACAGTTTTTACCTTTTAAACGGATGAGCTTCTTCAGTATTTTGATAGTAGTCTCTGTGATAGTTAACACCAATGGTCTATATTATTTTTTTCCTTTTTGATGAAGTTTTCCATTCATAGGTTTCTACCTAACCTTTCAAAATTAATTTATTTAATAGTCTGCTAGGTCAAGTCCAAGTTCCGTCTGCTAGCATCTAGAAGACTAGTAACATTCATGACAAAAGAATAATAATGATCAATGAACCTTCACTAGTTTAAACACATTGCCCATTACCATATCAACATTGTCCCTTACTATAAGTGAGGATTCAAGTGATAGATGGTTTCTCTTTTAAATAATAATAATATTATTATTTTTTGTTTCAACATGTTCATTTAGATTTCAAACAAGGCTGGAGAAGCTATTATTATTTTTTGTTTCAACATGTTCATTTAGATTTCAAACAAGGCTGGAGAAGGGAATTTAAAAGAGAAACCATCTATCACTTGAATCCTCACTTATAGTAAGGGACAATGTTGATATGGTAATGGGCAATGTGTTTAAACTAGTGAAGGTCCATTGATCATTATTAATTATTATTATTATAATAATTTCCTCCCTCCTCCATTGAAGCAACATATTTACGTCTAGAGTACCGACTTACAAATTTTTTCTCCCTTTCTGAAGGTAGCAGATTAACATCTAAAGGACTGGTTTGCAAAACTTATACTTTGTTTTTGGGCTGAACTTGTTAGAAGATAACATTAAGTATTAAGTTTAAAAAAAAAAAAAAAAATGAGACTAAGCCAGAGTTTCATATGGTACAGAGGCAAGAGGCCTGTAAACATGTTTATGGAAACGAACATGAGACAACAAACTATGTAATATATTTATTTTGGATTGCCCTACCGGCTAGAACCATTTTGTGAGTTTATGTAGCGGAAGATATACTTGAAAAGTTTGAGTTTTCAAGAAAAAGATTAAAATCTACGTCTTTCTATTTTAATCAGCTTTACATAATTTAGCTATTAATCAATTAATCACATACAAGATAAAAGTAAAGTAAAGCAAATAGAGTTTGAGAGATAACACCAGGAGGATTTTTAGCGAGGAAATCCCAATTGGTAGAATAGACCAATTGTTGTGGGAAAAATTTCATGAACTGTGCAGTCTAAAGTAAACCGATCCACTTTGTTTGAAACAAAGTACAATAGACTTTGACTCAGGCTCACAGCTTATCATTCTACCAAATACCAATCGTTAACAATCCTTCGGTTTTACGACGTCCCGTTCAACAACTCTTGACTTCAGGCTTACTCTTGATCTTTGTAGAAGGATTACTGGTAGATCAAACAACACTCCTCAAATACTTTGACGCTTTCAAAGTGTGATCGTTTCACCTCTATTCTTCAAGATTTGAATTTGATATAGAAAAAGTAAATCTTCTTTTTCTGATCATTGTAGATGCAAGATTCAATAAATTTTAAACACGATTAAGATCTGAACGAACACTCTAAGCTCACTCTTGTGTTTATGTCTATGTTCTAGAAATAAAGATAGAAAAATCAAATTTGATTTTTTGCAAAATATCTGTCGAATAGGCTTTTTAAGAAATCGAAAGTTTTAATGCAAAAGCCGTATCAACCTAGATGTAAATCAAGGTTTATATAGACTCTTCAACGACCTAGATATGCATAGGAAAAGATAATTTTCGTGCATAGGACTTTTGGAAATAAGTCTATACCAAATAGGAAGTATAATCAGAACAAGAAACAAAGTTACCTGAAATTGCTGAAGGTCTTGAACCGGTTCAAGAAAGGCTGAACCAGTTCAAGATGGCCGGAGTAAAAATCTAAGAACCATTTGATTCTTGAACCGGTTCAAGAAAGGCTAAACTGGTTCAAGATGGTCAGTCTTGAACTTAAAGGCTTGACACTTGGAAAAAATTTTGATTTGGTAAGTTTGAAAAATATACCCATAATGAAAAGTGTCCTAACCTTATAACTCGACTTCCTAAAGTATTGTTCATACCTTTTTCGTAGATCTTAGTATATCAAACTTGATCAACTTTTTAATTCCATAGCCGATCTCGATCTTTTTTTGTAACTTGAAATTACAACTCAATCAGACTTATTTTGACACAAAAATTAGCCAATACAAAAATTATATCTCACAATCTCCCCCATTGGCAATTTCGTGACAAAACATTAAAAACAAATATAATCTACCTAAACAGAAAAACAACAGATTACAATTTGACAAGGACACGGAATTCTTTTTATATATTCTCTGTTCTCTTCTTTTCTGGATAACAAATTTACCTGATTTCCTACACATAGATCAAACAAAACTACCAATGAAAGTTAATAAAAATAATTTATTAAAACTCCCCTTGACTCAATTATCCATTTTTCTCCACCTGAATTATCTATTGTTCTCCCCCTTTTTGGAACAAATTGACAAAGCTACCAATGTTAGAGCAGAAAAAACAGAGAGAAATAGTCAATGCAGTTAAACATGTCATTTATCCAAAAATAATAATATCCACAAATATAATGACAATGTAATTTGAACAAAATATGATGCATGAATGCATGATTAGATAACAAAAGAAATCAAGTATCAGCATCGTCCTCAAAAGTAGTCAGAAGAACATCAAAAATCACCACCATCATCACTACCATCCTGATCATCACCACCATCATCACCATCATCAGACTCCTCGTCATCATTCTCAACAACCAAAGACGGTTCTGGATGAACAGATCTATAAACATCCTCAGTAAAACCACTTGCGTGCTAACCTCTAATTTGCCTTATCTCAACCTTGAGATCTTGTATCTCATTCATCATGTAACGACCCGAACCCGAGGGTCCGAATCGCTAACCGGATCCTTACCCTAACCCGAGGTCATCTAAGGGCATTACTGTCCTTTTCAAGATCAATACATAATATACGTGCCATCCCAAGGCCTATACAAAAATAATAATAATAATAATAATAATAATAACAATAACAATAACAATAATAATGAGAGCATAGCTACAAAATATGTCAAAACAGTCCACTAACCCATCAAAACTTGTGGAAAAGCATCGTCCACCATTTCCTTCCCGTTTCCTGAAAAAAAATATTAATATAATAGGGTGAGCACAACGGCTCAGTAAGAGGTGCCTAAAACACACCTCTTAATGACCCCGTGAATCCACACAAAGCATGGAGTAAAAGTAAACGAGATCATTCTATTGGGGAAAACATAACAACAACAACAACAATACAGGCCATCCAACCACAATTACACAATGTATGCCAATGAGATGCAATGTCATGCCGATGTCGCTCCCCATTTCCGAAACAATTCCGTTTCACCGTTTCAAACCGTTAGTGTAATCCGAACCATGGCAACTCCATGGCGTCACGAGAGGATGATTGGCTAGCTATCCCCGACCACATGGCAACTCCAAGGCATCGTTTTGGTCCTAGGTAGCTCAACCACGTTAGGGTCCCTCCTTAGTCCCCTCTAAACCACACTAATGCCATAGACCGCTAGGCAATTCCTAGGCGCCCGGGTTTTCGCAAACACTTTTCAAAAACATTTTTCCTAAAAACAATTTCATTTCATTTCAAAAGAATTTTTCCCTTTTCTTTTCCAATGGAATGCATGAATGCTTCATGCTTTATATATGTCATAAGCCCATACTTTTCATTCTTAACAATATTGCACATTTAATAAAGAAATTCTCACAAAACATGACATGCTTACAATTAACATAATTTCAACAATCTTACACATAGAACAAAACCATAATCATTTAAGCATGCTTCTAGTATTCAATCAACAACCATATACACAAATTACTTACAACAAGAGAACTCACATAGATATACAAATCCCAAACATAACATCATAATAATTTCTCAATAATTAACTACAAATAGACATGTTATACACCAAATATATAAATGAATCACAAAAATCAACGAATGTGCAGATTAGAACACCTGTAATACCCCTAATTTTAAAAGAATAGTCTTGGTATTTATTTTATGTTTTTAGTGCATTTTTATTTTCACTTATTTGATTATTTGGTATTTGTTTAATTATTTAATTGTTTAATTGACGATTATTGTTGTGTTTATGAAATTTGTGGTTTAATTGAATTATCTGTTGTGTGATGATGTGTAATTTAATTGGTAATTCTAAAAATTTATTTTATTTTACATTTTTATTTAAGGATGGGATTGGATGGTATGGATTTAATGGATGATTATACATATATCTATGGGTATGTATGTATTTTTGGGTTAGTTTAATTATTAGGAATTATTAATAATCAAATTAGGATTAGTTATTATTTAATGAATAATGTAATTCTAGGGTTTTTATACTTTTCACGGGTTAGCCGACTTGGTTATTTTATTTTAATTTTGTTTTCCTTCTCTAAGTCTAATTAAAAATTAGGTTATCAGAGTTGCCTATATATATATCATATTAGGTATGCCTAGGGTTTAAAACACAAATTATATTCACAAACAGAGAGGGTTGAGAGAAACAGAGAGAGAAAAGTTGGGGTTTAGCTAAGACAAGGGCTAAACCGAGGAAGGGTATTGGAAGCTTGCTTGTGGATTGAACCAGGAGCAATAAAGGAGTTGAGGACGGTCTCGGATTGCCAGAATACTTAGGAAGACGACGTTAAGGTTTCAAAACTGAAATCAGAGGCAAGTTCTATTTCTTACTCTTTTCCTTTGACCTGTGTTCTGTGCATGCCTAGGTAGTCTCCATGAACTAAACGGATATTAAAATTGATTAAGTATGCATGTTAATTTAAATTTTAAACTGTAATATATGTGTTGAATGATTGAAATTGATTTTCTGTATAACCTGTTTCAATTTTGTTTTAAATTTCTTGTAACGATGCGTACTGGATTTTATAATTTTTCTGGATGATTTGGAACATAGTTGGACCTCTAGGAACTTAAACTAAGTCATTACAGAAGGTTTTTAACATCGTCGAAGACAAAGATGATGACAGGAAGTAGGGA